TTTAACGAAAAGAAACGCAATTAGCAGAAGTTGTATAAGGATGTCTTTGATTATCGTTACAGTGCCAAATCTTATAGATAGTGGGGTACAGCAAATATGTACTAAACTTCATTTTGCAAAGTATCGTCACGTTTCACAAAAGAGAAAGAAATGCCTTTTCCCATCTCATCGTCGCATTCTCTTTTTGCACAAAACAAACCTCAATTGGAGCAAGAAAGAGAGCTACCTAATGCTAATATAAGGGAAAAACTGCTAAACTCGGATACATAAGACTTCATGTTCATTTATGAGTGAAAAGCGAGAATGGACGAACGAAGCTTGGAAAAATGACAATAACGTAGGAAAAATGAAACCCAACGACACCAATTTCTCTGAATACGACATTTTGAGGAAAAGCTCAGTTCAATTGGATTTGCCAAGTTACTCAGAAGTTTGTTATAACAGTGGAGATGACTTGGAGAAGGGTTTGTTTACACCTATTCCTCCTACCTATAAACAACTTCAACTGAGTAATACAGACGAATCTGATGATAATCAAGTCCATACGAATGAAGTGCATGGACGCATGGCAGAACCCGTGCCAGACAGATCATGGGGGAAGCTGTATCCTCGATTGCATCTGCATGCCGGTACGTCCCCGACTAGCACCAGCGGGCACATTGAAAGAAGCAGGATATTTTCGATGTTTTATGTGTTATCTTTATACGGCTGCTTTTATTTTCTTTTTACTTTTCAAATATTCTGACAAATTGTCAGAGTTTATAAAGGATTCATCTTTGTCTAAGGAAATTGCTTTACCTTTGCTTGGTGGATTGATTTTAGTCTTATTTTTTATTTCCGCTGTTTTGATTTCTCGTAAGTGATTTGCATTCATCGGAAAAGCAAATTGAAGTACGTTGAATTTCTTGCTAACTTGAGCGTTTAGTTGTATTGGACATCATCGTTTGGTGTATATCTATGGTTCCAGATTTGGCTGTGCTTCTAGGGCGTAGTTTAGGACATTTCTCTGAGTATCTCTTAGACCGTGTCTTAGGAAGAATATTTCCATACTTCTGGAGAAAATTTATACTGCCTTTGACAATCATTTTCGGATATACAACTAATCAAAGCTTTGGGAATGATCCAGATTCAACAAACTTCGTTGAACTTGACGAGCTAGATGCTAGGGTCGAGACCCCAACAAGTACACCTAACAATATTGAAGTGCCAAGTTCTCCTTTTGGGAAAATTCATACCAAAGCAAATCATTCAAAAAAGTCTGTTGGGCATTCTGCAAGAGAGCAAGAAATAGAGATGCAAACTTTTGGAGACACAGGTTCTCCGACTTTGAACGATCATACAAAGTAATGTTTTTATGCTATGCCCATTTTATTGAATGGTTGTTATTGTCAGCGTGTC